CATTAGGTCCATAAAAGCTGCTGGTGCATTTGTTACCCCAAATGGCATGACTAAAAATTCATAGTGTCTGTATCTAGTTCTGAATGCAGTTTTCTCCACATCTTCTACTTTAACCTTCAACTGGTGATACCCGGATCTAAGGTCAATCTTAGAAAACACTTGGGCTCCCCGAAGTTGATCAAACAAGTCATCTATTCAGGGCAAAGGGTATTTGTTCTTGATAGTTACTTTATTCAATTCTTGGTAGTCTATACATATGATCCATCTTTCTTTTTGACAAATAAGAAGGGAGCACCCTAAGGTGAAGTACTCGAACAGATAAATTTCTTATCTAATAGTTCATGGAGTTGACTTTTCAATTCTTTCAATTCTGAAGTTGACATTCTGTAAGGGGTCTTAGAAATAGGCTGTGTTCCCGGAGTCATTTCAATGGCGAATTCAATTTCTCTATCAACTAAGTCCCTAGGCAAGTCATTCGGAAACACATCGGGAAATTCACAAGCAACAGGAATAGTTTCCACATTAGTACTATCAGATGATGTAGTCAGTATACAAGACAAGTAGCCCCTACATTCCTTCCTAAGCAATTTAACAGCTTTCATGGCCGAAACCAAGTATAGGGGAGGAATTACCCCATTTCCAGTAAAACTAAATTCAGGCATACCCGGTGGTCTAAACACAACAGATTTACTTGCACAGTCAATGGTAGCATAGTATTTAGTCAACCAATCTATACCCAAGATGTAATCGAAGTGGTCAATACTCAGAGGCAGTAAATCAACGTATAACGTCATTTCACCAATCAAAACATCACATACCGGATATACATATGCACATATCATAGATTCCCCAGATGGCGTAGATACAGACAATAAATAATTCATGGGTTCTAAGGGTTTAGTTAGTTCCTGAGAAAAAACATGCAATACAAATGAATGTGTGGAGCCAGAACCAATAAGCACATAGGCATTCTGAGCACAGATAGAAATTATACCTGACACCACAGATTCGGTGTTCTGCACATCACCAGGCACAAGTGCAAACACTCTCCCTTGCTTCAACGTTTCATTGTTAGTGTCACCTCTAGCATTGGTCCTTACGTTTGATCTTACTTCAAAAACAGACCCGATTGAACTTGCCACAGGACGGCTAACCTCATTAGATCTCATCGGGCAATCCCTAACCATGTGGCCAGTCTTGCCACATCGGAAACACATACCTGATGTTCGGTAACAAACACCTTTGTGCTTCCTTCCTCAGTCGGGGCAGTTTGGAGTAGATCCGGTACTTTGACTAGAGCTACTAGAAGATCCTGTATTTTGCTTCTTCGAAAATGACTGGCCCTTCTTGAAATTAAACCCGGTTCTCTTTCCTTTCCATTCGATTATTGGAGTTGTAGCTTGTTTCTTAGCTGCTATTATGGCTTCTACCATCAATGCTCTATCGAGCACCTCTACATAAGTAGGCAATTTCAAGACACCCACTCGATCAAATACCTCCAAGGCCAGTCCTCCCTCAAACTTTCGTGCTTTCTTGTAATCAGCGTCTACCATGTGCGGAGCAAAACGAGCTAGTTCAGTAAACTTAGCTTCATACTCAGTCACAGACATTCTGCCTTGTTTGAGTTCTTGGAATTCAGAAACTTTTCGGTCCCTGAAGCATTGGGGAAAGTACTTGTTATAGAATATCTCATTGAATTGTGTGCCATGTCCCCATTGTTATTTCAAACCAACAGCCACCATCTCCGAGCTTCATCCTTTAGGGTGTAAGTAGCCAAAAGGACCTTCTGAGTTACAGAGCAAAGGAACACTTCAAATAACTTTTCCATTTCCAATAACCAGGTTTCTGCCTTCAATGGTTCAATACCACCCAAAAAGGTCGGTGGCTTCATTTTCATAAATTTCTTAGTCAAATTGATGATGTCATTATTGTCCAGTTTGGCTAGTACTGGTGGAGGCGGAGGAGGTAAAGGTTGTTGTCTTTGTTGTTGCATCATAGCTTCAGTCAATGTCGCAAGCATCTGTTCCATTCGGTTCATTCGAGCCTTAGATGATTCAGCCGTTCCGTCACTTCTTGCATTGTCCATTTGCTATAGGTAAACAGAACATTATGAACATAGGCAAATAGTCCTCTTTACATCATTCAGATTGTTTGTTCCCATATCACATGATTATAATCGGATTTATGCTTTCACCGTTAAACACACACACTTTTACATGCAGATGGAATGCCCCTACTTCTTACTATGACATCCTAAGCTCATATGGACTTGTGTGTCTGATAGAACTCGTGCTCTAACACCACTCTGTCACAACCCAAACCCGCTCCTAAGGGTTTAGCACCATAACTGGCCAGTAATCCTTGTATCACCAAAGGCCTCTGAATAGAATAATATATATAACAGGGGCTGCGGAAGCAAATATACAAACATACACAGTCCATAGAGCTGTGCAAACATACATGGGATAGGAAATTTAAAACTCTTCACATACATATATACATACATACAGATGTGGCGTCGAAATATAATAGCCTTACATCACCTAAACCACTAATACGAGCTTTCAAACGTGTTCAGACCAGTCATAAGCATTTAGAAAGTACAAAAACCCCAAGGACACAAAACTTGGGTAGATCTCAAAAGGGAACCTCCACGGGAGGCGTGATGGCTGGCTAACACCAAAACTTGCAAGGCAGCATCTCAGGCCTGGTCACGTGTCTGCTCACCTACATACATACAAATAATACAATGAGCTAGAGCCCAGTGAATAATAACCAAGTAAAGGGGTTTTAATGAATGATGTCCATCACAGAGTTAGAATTCAGAGCTTATGTCCAAAAACGTATTCTTATCGGAAACGGAGCATTAAGCATATTCAGATGTTGCATAAGATCATACGTGGTACACCCATTAGCTAACATATCAACTTGGTCTTGAGACCTACATGCATAGTCAGTACCGACGACCATAAAGGTCCATATCTTGCGCGCAAGTAGCCACGGTATTGTTACGCCCGGGCACGGGCCACGTGAATATAAGCCACGGTATTGTTACCCCCGGGCGAGGGCCACGTGCATATTGGCCACGGTATTGTTAACCCTGGGCGAGGGCCACGTGAACTATGGGTGCCACAAATACATTTCAGAAAAATGGACATTCATTCATAATTCATAAAATAGTATTTCAGAAAATATATCGTATCACATCAGTCAAAAAATACTTGTAATTAAACATAGCTTTATAGAGTTGTTACTCACAGTTAACAGATGGCTCTAACTAGACAAGTAGTGTAGGTGATTCACTTAACTCGTGGCGCGTGACCTAGGGTTCTCAATTCCTTATTGTTTAGAGATATTCTTGAACAATCCTCCAAGTCCCTTAGCAACTCTTCCAAATCTCAAGCTTCATCTCAACTCTCACTCTCTACTTCTCTCTCTCTCGCGTTTTTCTCGTGGAGGCTCAAAGATGATATGAAAACAAAAGACTCAAATGAGGTGTATAAGCCTTATGTAGGCTTAAGTGGAAGTATAATTAAACAAGGTCAAATAAATGGACATTAAATTAAATTAATCTAATTTAATCGTTCTAAATCGAATTTCAATTAAACCTACCATAAAATTCTATAAATTCCCCATAACTCATATATCGAATCAATTTCTAAATCAGATGCCGATAAGGCCTTCAATTCGCAATCCGAAACTAAAACATGGACAGATCTTTCTATGCTAAACAGATATAAACACAATTAATGCAACACACACACATGCAATTTAATTCAAAATTTCACCTTAACTACTAATTAGGCATAGTTAATCATGGATTAACATTAATCAGGTGTTGGGTTCGTTACACTCACACACACACACACACAATTAATTATCCAACAATTTTGTATAACATAGAGACAAAGTTAAACTCAGCACGTCTTTTTACCATCCTCTTTGGTAGAAACTATCCATTTTGCTGAAATTTTTACCAGAAAGGAGAGAGAAATTGAACATAAATTTCCTTGATGTTCTTGCCACGTTATTTTTATGCTTTATGATTGTAATTTTGTACTTGTACAAATAATTTTGTAAGATAAGGGTTTTTGTTGATCTTCTTGTTTGTTATGGTAGTAGTAACAAGTAGTCTTATGGTTTCTAACCTCCTTGAAACCTGGTAGGAGATTTTGTTTGAGTTTATACAAAACCCACATTCTTGTGAAAGGGCAAGAATCGCTTGGTCCTCTCTTTGTCTCTCTCTCTCCATGATTATTTATTGCGTAATTTGAAATTAAATTTGTGCGAAGAATTTATAAAATGAAAATTCTATGTGTACCATTATAAGTTACAATCCGGTCACATTATTTTATGTTATTAACTTTTCTTTGCTATAGCATTACTCCAATAAAATGTGAGGTTATTGTTACTTCATTCTTCTTTGAAGTAAATTCATCAATCTATAAAAAAAGAAATTAAATTGTTTGTTGCATCTACTTACGAGTTATCATTACAACTCAATCATAAAAATAGCATTTTCTATGTGTACATATCTATGTGTTTCATTGCCAGTATTAATCCAAAAGTATTGATTAGTATATATTCCTTCTATTTTGAATGTACCTCCCCTTCACAAACCCAACCTTTGCAAATTTAGGATCAAGGTAAGGAATGAATTATATTTCATGCTAAATTGAGCTATTATTTTGCTAGTTTGTGATTATTTCTTCTTAATCTTCTCTCAGTCTTTCGAGAAAGTACTTGATTCGGTAAAGCAAAACTTAAAAGCTGTCAAGAAAGCACTGAGGTATATTCATAATTCACTTTTCTTCAGCCTTACTTATTCAAATAGATTTATGGGAGTACATATTGTGTTAAATAATTAATTGTTAGGTTAAATATGTACGATATAATGTTCTTATAATTAGAAATAAATTAATTTAATCATTTCTTGATTTACATTTCATTTAATACCTTTTTGATTTTTCTAATTTCTACCAACTTTTAAAAGTTACTAAATGTACACAGGTACAAGTGCAAGTGCCAAAATGGCAAAGAGACAACCATGTAATTGAGAGGCAATGAACGAACTCTCAAGTCATGCCTTTTGCACATCTGTTAAATGTGTTTGTTTATTGAGTACCAACAAAGTCATGTTATATGAGTCTGTGCAATCTATGTATTTAATGTGATGTAATTCATGAAAGGGTTTCACCAAAACTCTAAGTTGGTGCTTGGTATTAACAGTTCATTTGTTGCTTTGATTCCAAAAAATGATAATCCTTCTTGTCTTAGTGACTTTAGGCCTATTAGTCTCATAGGTTCACTATACAAAGTGCTTACAAAAGTATTATCTAGTAGGATTAAACCAGTATTGCCAATGATTATTAGTGAATCTCAATCAACTTTCATAAGGGGAAGAAACATTTTGGATGGAGTGCTGGTTGCTAATGAAATTGTTAATGATTGGAAGAAGAAACAAAAGCAAGGCATTGTTTTAAAACTTGATTTTGAGAAACCATACGATTCAATGAATTAGGAGTTTCTCTTCTCTATGCTCTCAAATTTTGGGTTTGCCTCAACATGAATTTTCAAATCATTTCACAAAAGATTGAAGGAGTAGACCAGTGCTTGTTGGGGATTTCAAGAGTGTAAGGCTTAGTGATTCATTTCATCTGCTTGAAGTAGAGTTTTCTGAAGTTTAAATCTAGGCAGCTGTTAAAAAATACAATGGGAACAAAGCCCCAAGGCCAGATGAGTTCAATCTGATGTTTTTTTTAAAAAAAAAAATTGGAAGGTGATTAAAGATGACATGCTCAACTTTATGAAAAAGTTCCATGCCAGTGGTAGATTGGTTATAGTTTTGAATAGCACTTTCATCAATCTCATCCCAAAGATAGAGAAAGCTATCAATCTAAATGAGTTTAGGTCTATAAGCCTGGTTGGGTCAGTGTACAAACCACTATCTAAAGTCCTTGCTACTAGACTAAAAAGAGTCATGCCCATGGTAATTGGTGATTCACAATCAACTTTTCTGGGAGGAAGGAATATACTTGATAGAGTTTTGATTACAAATGAAGTTGTGGATGGATGGCATAAAGCTAAGAAAAAAGGGCTGCTACTTAAATTAGATTTTGAAAAGGCATTTGACTCCATTAATTGGGATTTCGTATTCTTAATGTTAGCAAACTTTGGGTCTGGTACCAAATGGATTTCCTGGACTAAGGAATGTGTCTCTACTGCAAGGCTTTCAATACTTGTTAATAGCTCACCAACCAAGGAGTTTAGTCCTCAGAAAAGCCTTAGGCAAGGTGACCCCTTATCACCATTCCTATTTAATTTGGTTGCAGAAGCCTTGAATATATTCCTTCAGAGAGCTAGGGAGTTGAGATTGCTAAAAGGGGTAATTATTGGGGACAACTATGTAGTGCTCTCTCATCTACAATTTGCAGATGACTCTTTATTGTTCTGTGAAGCTGAGATGTCAAAAGTTCTTAGCTTGAAAAGGATCCTAAGGTGTTTCGAAGTAGCTTTAGGGCTTAAATTCAACTATCATAAAAGTGTGGTTTGAGGGATTGGAATTTCTGACTTTGTCCTCGATGAATTTGCCTCCTTGCTGAATCGTAAGACTCAAAAACTACCACTTAATTATCTAGGATTGCCTTTGGGTGCTAGTCCAAGGAGAAATAAGACATGGAAACCTGTTATTGAAAAGTTTAAAATGAGGCTTGCTGGTTAGAAAATGAAGTTTCTATCTTTTGCAGGCAGATTAACCCTGGTGAAAGTAATATTGTCCAGTCTACCAGTGTATTATTTGTCTCTATTCAGGTTACCTGAAGAAATAACAAAGGAGATAGATAAAATTCAAGCTTCATTCTTATGGGGTGGCTCAGATTTGAAGAGGAAAATCCATCTAGTGAAATGGTTAGAGGTAACTAAGAGCATCAAGCAAGGTAGGTTGGGTATTAGAAGAATTAGAGATATGAATATGTGCTTACTCCTCAAGTGGTGGTGGAGGTTTGCTTCAGAACATGATTCACTATGGAAGACGGTCATTTGCAGCAAATACAGATTTCAAGGAGGAGAATGGTTACCAAATCTCAGCCCAGGCATCAATTTCCCTAGAATTTGGAGTGATATTTTAGCTGCAGTTGAGCAGAAAGAAACTCTATTGATGTACTATGTTTCTAACCTAAAATTAAGAGTGGGTAATGGTTGTAGAATAAGATTTTGGCATGATAAATGGTATGGAGATATTTGCCTTAAAGATGAGTTCCCAGGGTTCTTTCAATTGTCTAACGATAATGAGGGGTCATTTAAGGACTTACTGCATATCACAGGCTCCTCAGAGAACTGGTTACTCACTTTTAGGAGACCCCTATTTGAATGAGAAAATGAGGAACTACTCAGACTCAATGGAATCTTACGATTAGCACATGCACTGAATTTGGAGATCAAGGACACAGCAGTGTTGATAGCAACAAAACCAGGTCAATCTCTTGTATCTATTCTTTACAACCACACTAATCTCAATTTTGGAGGCAATGTTAGCTTTAGTAGAATGGTGTGGATCTCCCTCCCAAAGTGCAATTCTTTGGATGGCTTCCTTGGAAACATAAGGTTAAAACATCAATGTTCTTACAACGACTTGGAATTTTGGATAGGAATGCATTTACCTTGTGTATTTTCTGCAAAGCTCAGTTCCTCAATCTTTTTTGAACATGTGTTAATCCTTTATCCTATGGTGTGGAGGGTTTGGTCTAGGCTGCTGTAGTGGTGGGCGACTATTTGGGTGGTACCTGGATCTATAGAATGCCAGTTACAATGGTGGGCAGGGAACTGCTACAGGAAAAATGAAAGGAGAATTTGGTGTGCCATACCTCTGGTGGCTCTTTGGTCCGTATGGAAGCACAAAAATGAGTGTCTCTTTGAAGGTTCTCAACCAAAGCTATAGGAGTTACAGGAGCTTATAGTCACCAGGCTTGCTATCTGGTTAAAGGCCACATCCAAGGGAACTCAATTCTCGATTAATGATTTCCTTTACAACATTTCACAAATTAGATATTGCTTAGATGGAAGGGCCTAGGGAGTTTGTTATTGTATTGAGGTGTGAGGTGTCTTGAAGATTTGTAATTGTATTGGAGGAGGTTTGTGGGGTGTTTGGAGTTAGAATCTGTCTAACTCTTTTTGGGGGCTTGGGGATACACATGATTAGTCTTGCTTTGGGTGACAACCTAGTCGGGATGCTTAGCTAAGATAATGATGCACCTTCTTTCCAAGCTTTTGTATCTTTTACTATTTAATATAATTTTACTTGCTTGCTGCTCAAAAAAAAGTTTCTAAGTGTCCATCATCAAGTATTTACTAAATGCAATCTAGTAAAATAAATTGTGCAGTCATTGATCATGTTGAGAGTCACCATGTTTTTATGATCTTAGTGTTTGTATGAAGTGTGAACAATAATTTTAGGTATAACATTGTGTGTATATGTGTGTGTGTGTGTGTCTGTAATTGAACAACCTTCAATGGACAACATACCATAGACTTATCACATCTCTCATAACAAACACACAATCCCTCAGAGAGAATAAAAGTAATGATTTCAATTGATAAATTGTCAATGCAAATATCACAATGAAATATCTTTTAGACGAATCTATGAATTCCATGGTCCAAAGTATCAAGGGAAAATTATATCTATTGTCCATATATATTGCCTTTAATGTCAATTCGATTGTTGTAGTTCTAATTATACATCAATTCGTTGTAGTTCTAATTATACATCAATCTTTTTTTTATCAATAAAAAAAAGAACTTTATTGATGAAAATCGAAGATTACAAAGATAAAAACATCAATAAGGAAAGTGAGTGCAAAAAGTGTTAGAAATGGTTAAGAAAATTCTACACTAAAATAGAACTTTTCGTTAACTTTGGACTACAATATACATAGGACCCAAGTACCGGTTATGGCGGGTATTTGTGGTAACGTGTTCTATGCCATGTTGTGATTCACGGAGTATATTTGGTTGTTTAAAACCATCATCGGGGGAATGAGAAATTGATGCCAAAGTAAACTCCATGAAAATGGTGTTTTTGTGGGTTTCTCAAATTGAAGAAAGGAAAGCTTGTCCCACATTGCTTGGCTAGACTAACATTGTATGGGTTTATAAGCTTTGAGTTTGGACTTTGAGGTAGGCCCCAAGGGGCACTCAAGTTTTGTAGAGGGGAAGGTTATGGGCAAAGTGGGTTAGACTTATTGGACCCAAAACAAACACATGGGCGGGGCTAGGCTGGGCTTGGGTGCGGGTGTGTGGTGTGAGGTTGGGTTGGATCCGGTCCAATACTAATAATTTTTGAGCCAAAAACATTTGAATTTATTTTTTGGAAAATAAATTCTGACCATTTTGAATTCAAATTTCAGTTGAAAAATTCAAATTTTGGCGGTTAGGCCTTTGCACCTCTTCAATCTTTTCTATACAGGTTTCATGCCTATAGCTTCAAACCCAAACAGGTTCATACCTGTTTATTATTCACCCAAACAGGCACCTTCTACTTCTATTAATAGTCAGTCCCTCATCTGGATTTTGTAATAAAATTTTCGTTCTTCTTTTCCTAAAAGTTTCTATATATTTCTGCATTTTTTTTCCTTGAGAGAGAATATATACACAGAGTGTGTTCGTTGTGCGAACAGTTTGTAGTGCTGCTACTGTTCGATGTAGATCATTTCATCCTAGAAGATAGACGTCCATAATCTATGAGTACCCTAGAGAGGACGAATCTATCTTAAGAAGACAGTGTTGAACACTAAACTTGATCTAAATTTCTGAGAAAACAATACTATAAGTGATTTGTTTACTTTCCCCTTTTTATTAATTTTTCTTTTTCAAATTTTGTGTTTTGTTTCTGTAACAAAATAAGAATCTATTTTTCTTTTCTTTTTTTATTTTGTTATATTCTATTTTGATTTTTGTAATCAAACAAACTCTCCCATTTCTTAATCCTTTCTTCAAATACAATGAAGATTGGTTTACAATCTTAAGATAGATTAAAGATAGATTATGCTTCTTTATTGTATTCACGATTTTGATTTTCGTTTCTAGTTTCTGTAACTAGAAAATTGTATTGCTTCTAATTTGTTTTCTGATTTTTGCAATCAGATTTGATGGCTACTGAAACTGGTACACCAAATCCAGTTGTGACACCAACACCGGCGATTGCCCAGAACCCTGTTCAAATACCTGTGGTACCTGTGAACCATGGAGAGACACTGAAAAAAATTAACAGCACGGAGTTTAAGAGATGGCAGCAGAAAATTCTATTCTATTTGACAACTCTTAATCTTGCCCGATTTCTCCATAAAGATGCTTCAGTACTAAAAGAGGTTGAAAGTGATTGGCAAGTTATTGTCGCTGTGGACGCCCGGAAGCTTTCTGACTTTCTTTGTAGAAACTATGTGTTAAATGGACAATATGTTATATAATGTCTACAGTCCTCTAAAAATAGCAAAAGAGTTGTGGGAGTCCTTAGAAAAGAAATAT